TCACAGATCACTCCTGACACTTTTCTCCAGCTGTTCCATCCTGCCTGTACTCTATTCTTCACCTCTCTTCCACAGTCTCCTCTGCTCTGAACAGTTGATCCTAAGTACCAAACTCCTGCACCTTCACCACCTCTGCTCCTTGTAACCTCACTATTTCACTGTTCTGCCTTTCGTTTACACACATGTACTCTGTCTTGCTACGACTGACCTTCATTCCTCTTCTTTCTAGTGCAAACCTCCACCTCTCTAGGTTCTCTTCTAGCTACTGCCTACTCTCACTACAGATCACAATGTCATCTGCAAACAACATAGTCCATGGGGACTAAAATATGGTTTCTAAAATAAACATCAATTAATAATGTCAGATGTCAACATGATTTTTATTTCATTTTATTTGAGTCTCTGGCCATCAAAGTGTCCAAAACAATGTTGGCCCTTTGACAAATATATATGGTTACCCCTGTTCTACAGGAAAACAACCAATAATAATAAACTTGGCCATGTTAAGTATTTGTGACGGGAAAATGATTTTCTGTTATCAAGTGAGAAGTATTAATTATAAGAAATAAATACTAAAGCTGCATAATGTACATTCTTTTTGTGTAACTTGATTTTAAAAACAGCACTGAATGATGAAAAACCAGGTCTATGTACAGGTTCATACTGCATGTGGTGATGGACTGTAGTACAGTACGGTTGCCCTTTGTATATAAAGTCATTAGAACCTCATCAGACCTAGTTCCACTGCAGCACCTACAAATGATGCGGAACACTACGCTGACACACCCCCAAACGGCCTAATGTGCACCAGAGCTGGGAGAGTGTGTGCGTGTGTGTGCTGCAGTGTATGTTGGGTCACACCTGTGCCCTGAAATAGCACTTCATTAGTCAACTATGGTGTCAGCCACAGTCAGGGCCCTGCAATAATGCCAGTGGGTGCCGTGGACACATGCCCTTCAGGGGATGCTCCATTTGGACCCCAACACCCGTCTGCAATGTCCCAGAGCTTCAGGGGCTTAATCCCCGTAGACAGCTTTGACCCAGCAATGCAGGGCAGGCAATGAAGTGAACCCACCACCGGAAGCAGTGACAGGACGCAGTGTAGATCAGAAGGTTGTGGTCTGTTTTTAGCAGATGACAGCAGAATAAAAAAACTAACCCTGAGACTTAATGAGACGATGATTAGCACAGCCTTTTTCAGCTTCCCTAGCACTACATCTACATTTTGATTATTTTATTGACACAAATAAGTCTACCCTGCCATTAATAGCCATCTCCAATCAATCAATCAACTCAACTTACACTTTTTTTCTCCTCATTTTCACACCCTGTTTCTCATGTTTCAATCTTTGCCTTTCCTGACAAATGCCTATTCTTAACCCTCTCCCCTGGTCTGTCACCCACACTCCTCAGCAAGCCCCCAAACTGTCAGTAAAACCTGCCAACAATTACCATTCCACCAGCTGCAGCAATAACTGTTACAGTAGCACTTAAAGTCTTACTTATACAGTAGGCACTACTCCAACTGAATGGGCACCAGAACAGAGCAGCATGTCTGCCCCCACTTCCCCTCGCCAGCAGGCCCTCATTAGGGGCCTTGTAAAGACCTGGTACCTGCCGGGCCTGGGCCTCTGCAGCACTCTGTTCCTCCAGGCTCCAGGTGTGTAAGGTGGCTGCACTCTACCAGAGGGGACAGCTTGGGCTCATTTAAGCCAGTGGCTACCTGCCTTGTGCCTACTGCTCCAACAGGACCCTGAAACTGTAAAAACTGCATGGGGCAGAACGAGGGGGGTAAAACATGAGGAGCTGGCAGTGGTGTGTAGAGGAGCAAGGATTATGACCCTGTAAAGATGAAAGAAGTTGCAGGCATCGAGCGATCAAAGAGAAAGTGTGTTAACACTGATGTGGCCCTGGGTCGTACAGCTCCAGTCTGCCTGTGTGTGTATGTGCGTTCTGAGATTGGTGTGAGCACAGCAGGGCTCGTGGTGACAGCGAACACCATCAGTGCTGGATAACACTATGACTTTCACAAGCTGCTGCTTAATTGCAGTTTAAACTGCACTTTGTCCTGATCAGCGCAGCACGTCACATCACACACATATGCACACACAGACACACGCACATATTTTCAATCAGCACTTGTAGTCTTCAGACAGTTAATCGGTTCTTATAGTTAGAGTAAAAGCAAAACCCCATGGGGCTGGTTAAATGTTGGTTTACACTCTGTTTAAATTACCAGCACCAGCCAACCAGCCAACCAGCCTATGTGTGTGTGTACACACACAATTAGCCTAAATATATGCCAGGCAGTTAACTCACTTAACCTTATTATATTACACAGTTCACACATGGAAAATGAATTGGAAGCAGAAGGGATATGTGGATGCGACATTTTGGATTTCATTGCATACAATTGTTTATAAACAGATAAAAACAAATAACGAGCTGAACAGAACCAACCGCTGAGTAGACAAAAGAAGGGGAAGGGTAAGAAAAAGAGAGATGAAATGATTCTAAAAAGACATTGGTTAGCAATGTCCTCGTCTGGAACCAGCAAATGTGATGTCAAAATAGATAAAAACATGGCAAAGATAAAGTCAGAAGTTTACGCACCACTTGTACATCTGAGGGCACTCTGGACAGAAAGTCTAGCAGCTCATTGTTATCGATGGTGTAGGGGTCTCTCAGCTTTTTGGTGAATTTATTCACACCTGGACAGATAAACAGTAGGATAGAGAGAAATGTCAAGGACAGAGAGGTGGACAAGACACACATTCAGCTTTCATTTCATCACTGCCCCAAACTTACATTTCAAAACTGAACTAAACAATAAAATCACTGTAACTTAAGCCAAAAAAATAAAAATTGTTTTGTTTTTTTTATGTTTTTTAATTTAGTTTCTTCACTGTCCATATGCAGTGATTAGTCAGTGGTTAGTCAGTGATGTGCCTAGTGATTATGTTGACATAGAAAAGTCCTAAAAAATCAGTCTTTTCACAAGCTGCTGCTTAATTGCAGTTTAAACTGCACTTTGTCCTGATCAGCGCAGCACGTCACATCACACACATATGCACACACAGACACACGCACATATTTTCAATCAGCACTTGTAGTCTTCAGACAGTTAATCGGTTCTTATAGTTAGAGTAAAAGCAAAACCCCATGGGGCTGGTTAAATGTTGGTTTACACTCTGTTTAAATTACCAGCACCAGCCAACCAGCCAACCAGCCTATGTGTGTGTGTACACACACAATTAGCCTAAATATATGCCAGGCAGTTAACTCACTTAACCTTATTATATTACACAGTTCACACATGGAAAATGAATTGGAAGCAGAAGGGATATGTGGATGCGACATTTTGGATTTCATTGCATACAATTGTTTATAAACAGATAAAAACAAATAACGAGCTGAACAGAACCAACCGCTGAGTAGACAAAAGAAGGGGAAGGGTAAGAAAAAGAGAGATGAAATGATTCTAAAAAGACATTGGTTAGCAATGTCCTCGTCTGGAACCAGCAAATGTGATGTCAAAATAGATAAAAACATGGCAAAGATAAAGTCAGAAGTTTACGCACCACTTGTACATCTGAGGGCACTCTGGACAGAAAGTCTAGCAGCTCATTGTTATCGATGGTGTAGGGGTCTCTCAGCTTTTTGGTGAATTTATTCACACCTGGACAGATAAACAGTAGGATAGAGAGAAATGTCAAGGACAGAGAGGTGGACAAGACACACATTCAGCTTTCATTTCATCACTGCCCCAAACTTACATTTCAAAACTGAACTAAACAATAAAATCACTGTAACTTAAGCCAAAAAAATAAAAATTGTTTTGTTTTTTTTATGTTTTTTAATTTAGTTTCTTCACTGTCCATATGCAGTGATTAGTCAGTGGTTAGTCAGTGATGTGCCTAGTGATTATGTTGACATAGAAAAGTCCTAAAAAATCAGTCT